TGTGTTACATATAACACAAATCAATTACACCTAAAAAAAAACATGTAAATTACTAGAAGATAAAAAATCAGGAATGTCAGTCCTAAGATAAATCTTTGGAATGTTTACTTATTGTGTGTGTGTGTTCATTGTTATACTAAAGATCTCATGGTGATCACAAGAGTTGGATAGAGGAGTGCTGTAGTTGGCTAAAATAATGAGCATCAAGTCTATGATCATGAAATACCAGTTTAGATGAGCTGGTCACTGTGTCCACTTAGAGGACACTAGCATGCCAAAACAGGTGCTGTATAATGAGCTTACACAGGGTAAATGTCTTCAATGCAAGCTGTAGCCAGGTATTGAACTTATAATTTTTTGGATCAAGTCACTGGATCTAACCAACACTTTTGATTTCAATACCTGGCTACTGCAGTGAACAAAAACTTAGAGAGTTGAGTTAAAGGGAGATAACTGAGACATCTGGAAGAAGCACGGTATGTGGGACTAGAGCAATCTACCCTGGTGGACAAAATAAAAGGTTCAGTTTGAAATTCCATTCACCTGAAGACAGCCGGTGCATACAGCAGCCGAAACGTGAATATGGCAACAAAGATGCGGACAGCAGTCTGAACAATGTAAATAATTACAATACCTCATCTCAGAAATATAGACAGATATTTAAGATATTTAAAAAGGTCAACATAGATACTTAACACCTGGAACATCTTGCATCAGGCAGGAAGCATGGATAAATCCAATTGCTTCTAGTGTTGAAGAATTTGAGAACAGAGTTGGTTACACTGAGCTGAAATGAACTGGTAGATATATGGAAGACATCAACCCTCTTCCTGAGGGGGACACAAAGGAGTCCCTCTTGTGTGTTGAATGTGTCCATGTCTACTTCTCGAGGACAGGCATAGAAACAATCCTATCTACCAATATGATACACAGCAAGGCTTTTCATGTAACATTTTTAATAAAGCATGTAGGTCACCCAGTGGACTGACTCGGCACCATAAAACTAAACATCTATATAATCAGGTTTTTGTCAGAAAACTCGCCTGTACTCTCTCTCTATAGTAGATGTGCAGGTAGTGTAATAGTAGCTTTGAAGGAGAAATCGGAGGGCCGAGTTCAACTTCACTTATGCACAAATACCCTTGGGGAAAGGTATGAATCTATCTTCTCCCTCGGCTATGGATTAAATAGTGTAATCTAGAAAAATTGATGTTATTCTCAAAAAAATTGTTAACACAATATTTACTTGCAAAAAAATAAAAAAAATTATTCTTACAATCCATGTATCATTTTGACTAATCAGAAGATCCACAGTAATTAAAAAATGTGATTTTGTGTTTATAATCGGGCTGTAATTATAAAGTACAGAAGACCAACCAGAATACAATTAAGTTGCATTATTTGAGTTAAGCATTGTTCTCCGCTGTTATGGCCTTTACTTTTGCGAAACACATGTGTAGAAGTTAATTTGATTTTTCAATTTCAACTGAGAAGGGTACCTACAAGTATCAGTATCATCTTATGAAATTTATATGATCTTATTTTTATATTAATCTCAGTTATGACATTTTTCCATAAATGAAATATTAAAATGAATGGAAATACAAATAACACGGTAAAATGTAATAAATGTACATAAAATTATATTTTATGTACACTTCTGTTAAAATTTCATAAGAAAGGTACCTATAAATTAATTAGATACCTTTCTTATGAAATATGAAATTTAATGTCACTCTTAACAGTCTTATTTTAATTTCTTTAGAATATATTTTCCATAAAGCATCGTAAACATAAACGTGAAAGCTAAGTACAAAAAAAAAAAATTAGAGCGCTGAAAGTTTTCCTTAAAAATAACGAGGTAAATAATTTGTTCACTTAAATGTAAATTATTTCACTTTTCTCCTTCTGTAGAACAAATTAGCCTCACGGAATCCATCAATATATCATTCATCACCTGTCAAGTGACGCGAAAGTTTATGACTTGCTTTGTTTTATTTTCAAATTACATCTTTTTGGCGCAAAAGCTAAGTTAAGCTTGGTTCAAAATATTTTAAATAAACATTATAATTTCTGATTTTCTTAAAATAAGTTTTGAAAAAATGATAATTGATTTTTAAAAGAATTTCAAAATGAGATTTCCAGATTTTTTATAAAATGGAAAAAAATGGTCAATTTTGCTGACTCAAAAAAAAAAAAAGAAGATTTTTAAAGAAAATTTCAGACGTGCGAGGAACGATTAAAAAATACCTCCAAAATACTTTTATCTCTCCTCTTAATAATAACAAACATTTAGACAATAAAATTTTGTTTTCTTCAAGTTTGGCGTCTTTTTCATCATGCTATACTCTTTTTTTAGTGAACTCGTGAAGGTACCTATGTAATATCAACCCTCATATAGCAGTGAATGCTGGACAATTTCCTTACAGATGAAGAGGAAACTTGAAGTAACAGCAATGTTGGTCAACAGAAGGATGCTGATAATACCATGGACTGAACATGTGAGCAACAAGGAAGTTTTAAGAAAATGAGGACAAAAATGAAACTTGTAATTAGACTCAGAAAGAGACAATTGAAATTTCTGGAACCCACCTTTTTTTTATTTTCTAGGCCTTTCACCCAAGCAAGTTAGGAGTGTCCCTAGTACACAAGGGGCTTCAGAGAATGAAATTAAGGGAAAAGACTGGTTATGGGTGAGATTGCGGAAAGGATAAAAAGAAGATTGAGGATTAAGGTATAAGAAGATGTTGATCAACATTACATTTAAATTTTTGAAGATTATAATTATCAGGGAAGCAAGTAAGAGGAATGGAGTTCCGCTGTCAGGAAGTGTGAGAGAAGAAGCTGTTACATTTAACTGTTTTGACAGTAAAAGGGTGGGACTGAGATGCCAATCTTAGTAGCACACTTAAATTCATGCAGTCGGGACACCAGTGGAAATAGTTTGTCAGAGCAGATGCTATGAAAATATTTATAGAAAAGACAGAGGAAAGCCATATTACATCTGTGAGAAAGTGACTGAAGTTGAGACCCCAAGTCAGGACGATCACATTGTATATGCATCTTTGGATTTTGTTGAGAACCTTGAGATGAACAGTGGGGGAACCAGACCATATATGGCAACAGTATTCTATGCAAGGATGAATGGTAAATTTGTAGATGTGAAGGAAGGATTCAAACGAGAAAAACCTTCTCACGTGACAGAAAACCAACATTCCTTGTGGGAGATGCAGCTATTGATTTAATGTAGTTGTTCCACCAGGTCAGTGGAAAATGTGAGACCAAGAAGGCACAGTGAGGTGCTCTCATGGAGTTGAGCATCAACCTGATAGGAGGCAGGGAAGTGAAAGAGGGTTTGGAGAATTTAACATTCACAGGACATTGAAAGCAAGAGCAGCAGAGAGAAACACTGAGTAACCTACATAAGTTTGTGTAAATAGATGGATAGGAAGTTGTGGAGAGCCATGATCACTCACGACTTAAAAGGACACTGCACATAAAAGAAAGAATGTAAAGAGCAATCATGCTCTTCAAACATTTGAAGCAATTGACTAGTGTTTACTAAAAAGAAAAAAGTGTGGAGAGTGAATGAATGGAACACCCCAAAAAATAAACCAAACCAAAATTAGGCTAAAATTGCTCAAAAGTCAAAACCGACGATTTTATTTTTTTTTGGGTTTCCAATGTTATCTCGGGATGTAGGCGATCATGAGACACACACACACACACACATACTCTCTCTCTCTCTCTCTCTCTCTCTCCACAACACCTTTTTCTTTTTTATATCGTTTGTGAATTGCCACTATTTTTTTTTTTTTTTTTAGAAAGATTGTTGCTGTTGAGTGTTTGTTTTCCCGTTGTCTTCGAATTCAGCGTTGCCTAGACTGGTTAAACGGTAACACCCAAGCCTAGGTAATCAAGTCTTCCCTGCTTTAAATCATAGCAGAAGAGAGGGAGGAGCGAAAAGATGAATTCATGCCTTTTCAAAAAGTATTTGTGGAAAAAAAAAAAAAAAAAAAAGACTTTTAGTTACCCAGATAATTTTTTTTTTTTTTTTTTGAATGATCCAATATTTTTTCAACCTAAAGAAAACACACACAAGAGAAAAAGTTTATTTTCCCTGAAAAAAATAAAAGAAAAAGGACATTCTTGCCAGGGGGGGCTAAATGTACACTGTGTAGTGTACAGTATAAAAATAAGTATTCCTTTTCGACGTTGCCTGAGAAATCTAATTTAATTTCAAATTAAAAACTGGAAGAAGAGAGGTGTGGCGCTCTCATATCAATCAATCAGAAAAAAAGACAATTTATTTTTTTAAAAAAAGCTCTTTTAAAACTTCATGTTTCAGTTACAATAGTCTTGTGATCTTTGTAGAAAATAAATGAAATGATAATCTGAGATCAATGTTCAGTTTGCATTAATTAAATAATAGTAAAATAAAACACCGCAAAAAACAATTTTCCGACATCTCAAGAAAATGACTTGATGTTTTCGTTTTTTTACTTTCATGATCAAGCACACTTTTATGAACTTTTTGATTTCCATAGAATTTATAGTCCCAATAGTGACTGTCAGTATTTCATCTTCGTATTCCTAACTCTCAGTTCATGAAACTGATATTTTGTTTTTAAAGTTTTCTATGATCTGCAGAAATGCTAAAAATTGTAAAAACTAAAGTAAAGTGAAGAAGAGATGTCATATGAAGTTACAGATCATGTCACAGGAAATTAAAAAAAAAGTTTAATTCAAAACAGCCTAAACTTAAAATACAAATATTTTTTAATTTTTAAAGAAGCTCAATATGTGTAAAAATCAGCGTATATCGACAATAAAAAGCTCAGAAAACAAGAAAAACTGTTCTCTGTAATTTAACCTGATGTTTATAAACTTAAAAAAGGAAAGCGGAAAAACTAACAGATTGTTTGTGAAAGATATTTCCTAGCTGTAACCAATAAGATATATATTCGCCAACGACACAATAAGAAATTAATGTTGCTTACCTCCAGAACATTTCAATATTCGGTCATCAATAGCCTCTTTTAAAGAGTCCAAAACAGAATTTAAATCGTCTTCGAAAGATTCGAACTTCTCCGACGACATTTTGGTAATAAAAATAATGTTAGAGAGTTCCATAAGAAGGGAAGTAAATCTTGCATCTTTGATGTAAAATTTTGTGAATATAAAAAATGAGTTATTTCACACTTTCTCTCTTATGGAAAGGGAGAAATAAAAAATATACATAGGGTTCTACTTCATTGTCTAGTATGATAATCACAAGACTTGGTTTGTGCTTTAAATGACTATGGTTCTTTAAACGTGACGAACTGACACAAAATTCGCAGACATCAGACATACATACATTTTTGTTGCCTTTTTTTTTTTTAATCATTGTTTCTCTTCAACCCACCAACTGACTGGCACACTTTTCTACAAAAAAAATGTTATAAGAATTGTTTTGTTAGTTAGCATTTAATTTTTATACCATTTCGTAGTTAGTCGATGCTCAGTATGATAACTTCACATATGACTCAATAGTGCTTTAAGAAGGTGGGTCCCTAAAGAAAGGAGCTAGAGACCTCCCGAAAGGAGCGCGCTACTTTTTGTCTATGCCAAGGAGTTAGGGATCCTTTTTGGTAAAATTGCAGATTAGGACTCAGAAACAATTTTTTTAAAGCATCATTACTAGTGTAAAAAAAGCCTGATTATTCCAAAAATATCATTAAAATTTGTAGAAACCTACCGCTTTGGAGATATTGACAATCTTCTTATTTATGTCACATTTACAATACGACCATCATTAATAGCCTCGATTACTGCTCGAAAAATTTTACAAATAACTCTTTAAATAAAAAGTATCATTCCGGGTGTTAAAAAAAAATGCCTTAATATTCCAAAAATAGCATTAAAAATTTGCGGGAATCTACCGCAATCTTAGTTGGGTCCCGGGTGCAGCACGGCCGCTCTTACGCGACTAGATTACTGCGCGTTGGCCTCTTCGATTACTGCACGAAGGTTTACCCTTTTGATTAAAAAAAACAAAAACATTCCTATGGTAAAAAAAGACTGACTAAAACTTGAGGAAACTTTACCGTTTACCGTACGAGGTATTGGCAATTTTAGTTGTGTCCCAGATTTGCAGATAGGGTCCGGTAACATATGTAAAAAACTTTGCTTAACACACACACAAAAGCGAATCCAAAACAAAACTCGTGAAATTTCACACCTTGTTGGGAAATGTTTTTCAGTCAATAGAAAACTAGGAAACATTTAAAAACAAAATTCAAATAATCTTCAATTATCAGAAACAAATTCTTTTACGGACCTTTTCGCGAGCCGGCGCGAAGTTTGTCCGTCTTCCAATAGAAAAGCCCGGGTCATATCCGGGAGTAAATTCCCAAATGACCTTTTCAAGCCCCACATACAAAATAAAAGACGAGTAAGTTCGCCTGTCACCAGAGATAAGGAGACAAGCGTATTAACATGTCCTTTGACAAACGTTAGGCGATCGATATTATTATCTCTACCTTTCTTTACATTATTCGGACTATTGTCCTCATCTTTGTCACCATATTTATTACAACGTTTCGGCCGTTGTACGCTCCGGCCTTCTTCTCAAGGACACATGGCACATGGCGTTGGTTAAATCCAGTGACAGGACCCAAAGTGTGTGAGTTCAATACCCAGTTAAGGCAGTGGAGAACTTTCAGAGGGAAATTAACAGGAGATAACTGACATCCATTAAACATGGCACGTGGAACTAGAACAGTCTACCCCAGTGAGCGAAATAAAGGGTTAAGTTCGACATTCCAACCACCTGAAGCAGGCCGAAACGTTGTAATAAATATGGCGACAAAGATGAGGACAATAGTCCGAATAATGTAAATAATGTACATAATACTTCATCTCAGAAATTTTTTTATTATTTGCTTTCTTTTTGATTTTTTTTTTTTTACTTCTTCCCTCTTAAATATATTTTCGTATTTTATTTCGTAACCCCTGCTAGAGTTTCTGTTTATTTTTCTACGACAAATTTTAATTTCTTCCTTACGTGTTATTTCTTTATTTGTTTCTTTCTTTTTAAATATCCTTTAAGTTTTCCGTGTTTTATTTTATTTTAAAACCTTTTTTGTGCCATATTTGTTCTAATCTTTGTATTTATATTGTCTAATCTGCCCTTTTATTTTCTTTTGTTTATTTGTTTTTCCGGTTGACTCGTTCTTAGCGTCAGCCATTTTTGTTTTGCGATTAGCTCTGCGTATTTTTGTTGTTTCGTATTTTCTTTGTATAACGTTTTTCTTTTTCTTTTTCTTTGTGTAGCGTTTTCGTTTTATTGTTTATTTTCGTTTTTGTGTTTTCTTTTTTAAATTTTTTGTTTCGCCTCTAGGCGAACCTTGTTCTTTTGTTTTTCGTCTATTTTTTATTGTACGTTTTAAATTTGTCTTGCCTTTAGGTGAACCTTGTTTTATTTGTTCTCTTTCGTCATTTGATTTTTGTAAAACCTTTGTGTATATTTATTTATGTGTTCCTTGTTTTTGTACTTTTTTTACTTGCTGTCTCGCTTTCGGGCGAGCCTTGTGTTTCTTCTTTTTGCTTATTTGATTTTTTTTTGTCTGTCACCTGCTGTTTTTGTCTGTTTATTTTTTCTTGAATTTCTAGTTTCGCCTATAAGGCGGAACTTATTAACTATTTTTCCCCTTTTCACGCATTCTCTTTACAAAATTGAAAAAAGGGAAAAGAAAGCACCTTCTTTCTTATTTTTAAAAAAGAAAACTAAAATGACGTCTTTCAGGAGATATGTTAGGAAGCATCTCTTCAATCCAAAGAAAGACCCGCCTGATAAAGAAGGTTTAGAGGAGTACCCGGCTTTGGAATCTTCTTCCTCTTGTGAGGAGGCCATTGCTGGCAATTTAAATAGTATGGAGTCCAATAAAGGCCAAGAAAAATCTCCAAATTGTACAGGAGCCAATAATGGCAAAGAAAAAACAAAATCCCAAGAAAGTATGGAGGCCGATAATTGCCAAAAAAGAAATAAAAAATCTACAGTGGCCAATAATGGCCGAAAATCTGACATGGAGGCCAAGAATGGCAAAAAGAACAGGAATAGTGATACCGCTGATAGCGGGGATTCGCCCTGTTGTTGGAAGTCCCCACCTAAATGCATTATCGATATTGCGGAGTTCTTGAAGCATGCCAAGAGTTACGCACACCCCGTGGTAGAAGGTGTGCTCTTGGAGAATCCAATCAAAATAAAGAAGATCGATAAAAGAATAGTGTCGGTCTTTGTCGTCGTCAAGCGTTCGCGCAAAATTTGTCATTTTACGAAAAGACAATGGTTAAAGCCACTCCATATCGTTAAGGGTAAACTTTTTTCATGTGGGATGTGCTGTTACCCATTGCCGAAGACTGCGTAAAAGCTACAAATCGGGCTTTGATCACAACAGATTTGATTCTCCGAACTGAATATGAACGCAGAAGAGGGACTTTGTAGCAGCATACGAGGTCCCTTCTCAAGTTACCGGGGAGCACCTGGAGGCTTTCTTCTCCCAGTACAATGAAATTCTGGATGCTTCATGTGATAGGATCGTAAAGCCTTCGTCACAATCCCCAACTGTTTGGATGTTGGTGGCCTCAATCTGCTGGCCATTGCGACCGGCCGTAAACCAGTTTGTTGGAAGTGCGGAGAGACTGGTCACCTCTCCTCTTCCTGTCCAGGAAAGAAGGCCTCTGGAAGTCAGGCCCCAGTCGACCAAACTCCTCCTCTCACCAAGTCTTTGAAATCCGCCTCGCCTATAATGGGCGTGCCAGCTTCCGGGACTGCAGTGGTCAAACCCCCGGTTGGGCCAACACCAAAACCCCCATTCCGAGAAGAGCCTTCTTCCGCTGCAAGTGCAGTTATGGAGGAGGGAGAGGTGGAATGGCAGGTTGCTGACAGGGCCAGAAGGAAGCGTCAGACAGCGGGTTCTCAGACTCCTGAAGCCCCTGGGACAAAAGGCACTTACAGTCCTACTCCCTCTGTCAACAGTAAGGGCGACGCCCTGGCCTCAATAGCGAACACCCAAGATCTACAAAGAAAATACGATCCCGGCTACGGAAAAACTGAAAAAATTAAAGTTCTTAAACAAAAACTAGACCAGCAAAGGAAAACAAAATCCTCTCCCACCAAGAAAGCACTTCCTTCCAATTCCACTGCACAGTCTCCCCAGCCCTCTACATCCATTCAACCGAAGTCTGTCTCTTCAAAGAAGGTCACACCCTCTACAACCTCTGACCCACCACTTTCTTCTCATCTTTCAACCCCTTTTTGTAGAGAGAGGTCCTCACCTGCCTCTCCTCCACATTTTTCCCAATCCTCAATCCCTCTCAATGGATCCCCCAGCCCTTTTAGGCAAACATATACACCCAGCCACACCCCCAGTCCTTCTCCCATTAAAACCCCAGAAATGCCCCCCACCACAAAACAAAAGGCTCAGAAGCCCCACTCACGAATCAATCGGACTTAGAAAAAACAAAAGCATATTTTCAATTCCGTGAAGACATATGTAATATTTCGCCCATCCAAGCTGAAAAAGCTAGAGACTATGGGAACAGAATTAAAAACTTAAAATATCTGTTACCCATTAAACAATTCAGCGACAAGGACATAGAAGAACCTCAAAATTTTCCCAATGCGGAAAGGGTTCTAACGTGACCACCGATTGAGAAGACCTGTTTCATTGGGTTAAGGAGAAATTTGACGTCATCATATTGAGTCCGACTTTCAAGAAGCGTGTCGTTTGTTTTGTGTATCAGATTTTTTTACGGCGGCATTTTTAAATTGTTTATTAATACTTTCTTTTAAATATTGAATTAATTTAAAACAAAAACAATGCCTTGTAGAGGGCCGTGGCGGTTACCACTTGTTGAGGGTTCATGGCGTGGCTGTTATGTTGTTGATAGAAGTCAGACGTAGAAGAAACGCAAATAAGGTTCAGATACTCCTGCCCGCCGAGCCCAACTACATAAAAAAGTTGGACTTTGATTAAGTCCAAAGAAGAAGGCAAAGAAAGCAAACAAAACACAAGACCGATAATATATGTATATACAAATATATATTAATAACA